CCCACCCTGGCTCACCCCATGCCCTGCAAGCCCACCCCGCTCCTTGCTGGCAGTACGGCCCGTGCCGAGCTCAGCACTGCTGCAAATCCAGGCTAACACCGGGGAGCAACAGCAGGCGTAGCACAGAAGGGGGCTTTCAAAATGACTGGTTGCCCACCTCTCTCTGACGTGACCCAGCAGAGATCTGCTGATTTCCAGAACATCCTCCAGCCCTTCGCGTTGGCTGCTGCAGCCTGGGGGGGAAACGTTTTTGGTGGAGGGGATGGGGAGCAGAGAGGAGCATCTGTGCTTGTGCCTGTGCGTGATGGGGAGGGCAGGAGGCATATCTGGACAGCAGTCACACCTTTAATCAGCCAGTTCCCCCTGCAAACGAGCGTCACAGAGGCTTTAATTGGTTGGTGTTGTACAAGAGAGGGGCCTCCCGAGCGGCAGATTGGTACCTCTCAGCTCGCCGGTGTCGGTCTGGAGCAAGAGGGAGACGTGGGCGCACCATCGGCTGCAGGTCTCATGGTCACTCGTGGTCTCTGCTCCACACAGAGCTCTGGGGTGAAACAACTGAGAGCCCTCGCCCGTTCCCTTCCCACGGACACCCTCCTGCACCGGCACCCGTGCGCCAGCCCGGAGGAACTGTTCCCATCACGTGCCCCGTCCCTGAGAGGGGGACGGGGTTTCTTCTCTGTAGGGATACCTGCTGAAGAAGCAGCGGCAGCAGCAATGCTGTGGCTGACACAGGCTTCTCATTCCTCGAGGGCAGCGTGGGGGTCAGATCGCACAGCAGAGGGACTCAGCCGCCAGCTGAGGGCACGAGGAGGAGCAGCGAGCTCCGTGGCGGGGGGCTGCCAGCCTCAGGGCCTGCGTGGGGAGCGCGGCCGGGTGGGAGAGCCCCGACAGCTGTCACCTCTGCCAAGCCCCTTCCTCCCACAAGCGCCTCTGTCGCTCCCGCATTACAAGGCAATTAGCTCCCATTTGACAGCCAGCGAGACAGATGAGCTGCCCTTGATCAGCCTTAAACAAAGCTTTGTGCCTTGCGAAGCCGGAGCCTCAAAAGCCCCAGTGAAACCTATTCATCTAATTGCCAGGCGTTCAGCCGACAGCCACGCCGGCTCCTGAGCATTACAAAGGGCTCCCCAGCCCCAGCTCCTTCTTATTAGAGGCAGCACTGGGAATTGCTTGCTTAATAGACTGCTTGCAATACAGAGCTGAATATTTGATGTCCAGGGGAAAGAGGAAAGCAGAGGTGAGCAAGCACAGCAAAAGGGGGTGAGAATCGCCAGTGCGGAGACCCCGGCCTCCACCCAATGCACCAGTGACAGCAGGGAATGCTCACACCAGGCCAGTTCCTACTCGAGCTCTTCCCAGTCCTCCCTGTGCCGTCCGGTAACATCACCCTTGCTCAGAGCACCCTGCCCTGGCAGTCAGCAGCCTGTTCCCAGAAAGCCCAGATGCCCGGCTCCTTATCCTGTGCCCAGATCTCTTCCAGGGAGGCCAGGGAATCCAGCTCTGCCTCCTCCTCCAGGACTGGGCTGTCTCTGCTGGCCTGTCTTACCGACGGGTGAGATGTCCCCGAGAGAGTGAGCTCTGGAGGGCAGTGCCCCCCCGGTTCTCCTTCTGCTGATGGCAGCTCTGGCTGCAGGCCCCCAGCCCGGCACGGGAACCACAGCACCTGGAGCTCGAGAAAGCCTGGCCCTTCAGGCCAGCCCAACCTTGACCCCAGCCAGAGCCAGGCGTGAGGCTCGTCCCCGAGAGCCGCCAGCACTCCCACAGAGAACGGCCAGGCCTGCACACACCTTGTGCCCATCCCTGTGCCAGAGCTGTGCCCAGCCCAGGCTGGGCCTGAGAGCACCACCGGGGAGAGGAGAGGTGCTCCCCGAAGTCACGGCAGCGTAGCCACCCTTCTGCCTCCAACCTGCTTTCTG